GTGGCCAGCAGAAAGGCAGCAAAGCCGGCCCCAGAGCTTTGGGAAGCTGTCCGAAGGGATGACACCTGCCGCCATCCCCCTCCTTGCTTCCCGTGTCTCATCCCAAGTGTCTCCCGGGAGATTTTTTCCCACCCCATTGCTGGAGCTCAGGCTGGAAATGTGTCCCAGCGTTACCAGACCTTCCCGTTGGGAGATCTCATCGGAAATGTGCCATTTCCACCACCGCCGTGAGGTTGGTTTCCGCAGCTCACCTGGTTTCTCAGCCACATTCCCCTGGGCATTCGCACCAAGTCATCAGGCTCTGGATATGAAGAGACCCTCGTGCATGGGTGGAAAGGAAGGTGGCTACTCTCCACCAGCACTGCGCAGGGAGGAGACCCAGGAAAGGAACCTGGACTGGGACTGGGCAGCTGGGAAGGGGCTGCAGAGCAAACTGAGCAGCTCACGCCTGGGTACCGCAGGCCCTGGGCATGGGGTTCCTACGTGCTCCCATGGGAAATCCTGTGCTCTGGGAACACAACGCTATGAGCACCACAATCCCATGCCCTGGGCATCACAACTCCGTAGACACTGCGATGCCACAGGCTCCATGATCCTGCGTTCTGTGCACCATGATCACATAGGCATCACGATCCTATGACCTGGGCATCATAACCCCACAGGCACCTCTGTTCCATGCCCTGGGCACCATGATGCCGGGAGCACTGCAACCCCACGGACACTGCAGTCCCGTGAGCACCATAAGCCAAGGGGAACTGTGATCCCATGGCCTGCGCGCTGCAACCCCCTGAGCACTGCAACCCCCATGCCCTGGGCACCGTGATGCTAGGGACACCACGACTCCCTGGGCACTGCAGCGCCATGGGCACCATCATCTCATACCCTGGGCACAGCAACCTGCTTGGCCACCAGGATCCCGTGGCCTGGGCACCACAATTCCAGGGGCACCATGATCCCCCATGGGATCCGCTGACCCCACACCATGGTCAAGGTCCTGCCCCACCACACGCTGCAAAACTAGATCCACCCTTGCTGGAGAGCCGGACCTTGGGCTTCCCAGACCCAGGATCAGGGCAGCGGAGCTTGTGGGAGCTCCGTGTCCCTCTCTGAGGGGCCTGGGGATGCTGGAGCGCGGGGCCCAGGCTGCGGGTGCGAGGGGAGGCTTGTGCAGAGCGCACGTGTTGCAAACGGCACGGGGACCAGCGCCCGGCGTGACTGCGTCGAGCAGATCCCCTGGCTAGCAGGGAGCCGCCGGGGCTGTATTTAGCCGCTGATGAAGCTGTTTGAAAGGTTCTTATCCAAGGAGACGCGCTTATCCAAGGTGGCGGCCGTGAGCCTGCGCGGGGGGGGAGCCGGTGGCACTTGTGGCCACGGCAGCCCGCGGGGCTCAGCCCCCCGTGCAGTTTGGCATCACCCGCACGTCATGGCCCTGCCGCGCGGCGCAGGGACCCAGGGGCAAGGAGGGAGCCTTGCAAGGGGGGAAACGCTTTTCCCTGGGCCCCCGGGACAGCGGGGTCCCACGGGCGCCCCTGGGCTGCTTGCCCAGGGCTGAGCCCCAGGGGCGGCAGCGCCAGCGCCGGTCTGCAAGTGCCCTCCCGTGGCTGGCACGGGAATGGTGCGGTGCCACCAGCGTCACCCTTCCCGCCCGCCCCCCGCCAAGGGGGGCACACGGGATCCCAGAGCCAGGGAGCACCCGCGGCGTAAGAAACGGGGGACGCCAGAACGGCCGCGGCCAGAAACACTGCGCACAGGCTTGGAAAAAATATAATTAGGGCTTTATGAGTGACTCAGAGTAAACGCCGACTACGTACAGTGCATGGGTGTCCTGCGAGCGATCTGCACAGGACGGGTCTGCCTGGAGGGACCAAGCACTGCTGAGCCCCACGGCGTCCCCAGCACCCACGGGTGCCCCCAGGGCTGCAGCGGGCGCTGCCGTGGCCCGGCGCAGCCAGCGTGGGGCCAAGCCCAGGGCCCCACGGCACAGTCCTGCCAGCAGAGGAGCGAGCGTGGGAGCCCCAGGGCACCCGGCTGCTGTGGGGCTGAGCCCCCCGGCTCCTGGCCAGTGTGGGACCAAGCCTGAGGGTGCCAGAGCCCCCAGCAGGGTGTTGGTGTGAGCCCTGGGGAGAGGGCCCCACGGCACCCAGCCCTGCCCCAGCGCTTGCCCCATTGGGGCAGTGCCCTCCAGCACCCAGCTGTGCCCTGGCCTCCATCCCATGGGGAGAGTGACCCACAGCACCCAGCTGTGCCCCGGCCTCCATCCCATTGGGAGCATGTCCCACAGCAGCCAGCCACATGCCAGTGTCCATCCTACTGCGAGAGCACCCTGCAGCCAGGAGTGCAGGAGCGCGGAGCACTCCCCTTAGCACTCAGCCACGTCCTCTTCCTCCTCCTCTTCATCGTCCTCCTCATCCTCGCTGGCAGCCAGCTGCCCGTGGGCACAAGCCGCGGGAGGGAAGGGAGGGCCGCGCTCCAGGTTCACGTAGGTGACATCCAGGTTGACGTAGCGCTGGCCCTCGAGGGAGGCTAGGACGCGCTCCAGTTCGGCCACCAGCATGGAGAAGGTGGGTCTCTCCTCAGGCGTGGGGGCCCAGCAGCTCAGCATCACCGCGTACCTGCCCGACAGCCCCGTCAGCGCCAGCCCTGCACCGGGACGCCAGCGTCCCCCCACCGCGCGGCCCACTCACAGCACGTCGGGGCAGGACTCGGGCTGCGGCAGCCGCCTCCCGCGCAGCAGGTAGCGGGTGATGTCGTAAGGGTCCACCTCGGGGTACGGCGATGCCCCTCGCGTCAGCAGCTCCCACATGAGCACCCCGAAGGACCACTGGGAGGGAAGCGGAGTGAGCGGTGCAGCCACGCGCACCAGGAGATGCCAGCGGCGCTGCGTGGGCTTCCCGGCACGCTTACCACGTCCGACTTGGTGGTGAACTTCTGCGTCTGCAGGCTCTCCAGGGCCATCCACTTGACGGGCAGCTTGGCGTGCCGGTGCTGCCGGATGCTGTAGTACTCCTTGTCGAAGACGTCCCGCGCCAGCCCAAAGTCGGCCACCTTCACCGTGAGCGTCTCCTCCAGCCTGCGGAGCAGAGCCCGGCTCAGCGGGGACCCGCTGGTTGGGACGGGGCAAGACGAGGCCGCAGGGGTGACCCCTCGAGCGGAGGGGGCTGCAGAGCCGCAGCCACACGCACATGCAGTTCCTGGCAGCCAGATCCCTGTGCACGAACTTCTTCTGGGCCAGGTACTCCATACCCAGAGCCACCTGCAGCCCGAAGCCGATGAGGTCCTTCACTGTGGGGATCTGCCAGCGCGGGGAGGGAGCCGTGGCAGTTAGTGGGGCGAGATCGCTGTCCCCATGTCACCTGCACCCAGCCTAGGCCCCGTCTCCTCCCCAGCCCCGCCGCGGCCGTTGTCCCGCTCCACCAGCAGTGCCCGCGTGCCCATGGGCACCCTGGGGAGCCCTACCCGCTCCTCGGCGCGGATGAAGTGCCGCAGGTCCCCGTGGCGCATGTAGGGCAGCACAACGAGGGGCAGCCCCCGGCGGGGCAGGCAGACGCCGATGAGCGACAGAACTTGGGGGTGGTGGAAGCTCTTCATGAGGATGCCCTCGCGCAGGAACTCCTCCACCTCCTCCACGTCCGTGATGCCTGGCAAGGGGTGAAGTCGGGGGCTCCGCGCGCCGGGACGGCCGCCTTGGGGGCAGACGAGGCGCAGAGGAGGTGGGTGCTACTCACGGTGCAGGGACTTGACGGCGCAGTGAAGCGCTCCCAGCAGCGGGTCCGTGTACGTGCCATGGTACACGCTGCCAAAGTGCCCTGTGGGAGACACCTGGGTGGCTCAGTGGATATCCCGTGCGAGGGGGTACAAGGCGCCCGGGCACCCTTGGGTGCGGGGTGCTCACCTTTGCCGATGACCTGGTGCCGGTGGGTGACGAGCCGTTCCTCGGGGATGAGGATGTCCTTCACCTCCTCCAGCAGCTCCGGCCGCAGGTCCTCGAGGCAGCAGGACGTGGCCC